ACACCCACCACACGCACACGCACACACACACAACATGCACGCACGCACGCACACACACACACAACATGCACGCACGCACGCACGCACGCACGCACGCACACACACACACACACACACACACACACGCACACACACACACCTCCGTCAATCAAAATTAATACTATGCTTTGGATACCGTACGTGAGAGATGCTACAGGGTAGGTTTTGAATATAATTGGTATTGAATATAACTTTACTTCAGTTTACTTCAAACACGTACTTTACTTCGCAGTTTACTTCAAACAGTTAAACGCGAGATTGTTTGATGTCTACATGGCAGTAGTAAATAATGTATGACGACAAAGAAAAAAAACGATTTCCATGTTAATTTTAGAAATAACATAACATAAGTAAGAATTGGTTAATGACAATAGCAAATAATATATATAGGTTTATTATGTCATGCTTACGTCAGGGGCCGGTTTCACGAAGCGTGATTAACTTAAAATTTTATAGTTAAATCAATAATCATTATTATTTTCCCGTAATTATGAATAGTTAATCATCATCTGTGAATCTGTTTCACGAAGTAATTTAATTACATATTTAATTAATCACAGCCGACTTAAACATGAATTAGACTGCATATTCAAAATGAAAGACAATGCAAAAGTACCTGCAAACGGTACCTGAAAGGGAATTAACTCACGACTTAACGATTCATGACTTAATCACGCTTCGTGAAACTGGCCCCAGGTATCGCCAAGCATAGTTTATATTTTGTTTGGCCTGATTAAATGCCGATAACTAAACGGTCGTCGACAAATTAAATTTCGACAAAATTGCGACGGACATAATACAATCGGGCAAAACACAATCGACCGTAGCCCAGTACGACAGGAGACTGATTCCACTATTGATCGAAGACAAGATATTATTAGCGCTTGATATTGTGCACTGCACTGGAGCACCAAACACATCGTGTCCTGCATATAGTCAGGAGATATAGTGCATATATAATCTTACTGTTAAAGCTGCTTTGCCCCGAAACCCACAATGTACCCAGATGAGAGACCGGATACCAGAGAAGCGTCGCCTGAGAGGTGTTGATCCTGCCCGCTAAGCGTCCTACGAAAGTATCACGCGCTGGCAGCTATTGATCCGTGCGCCAAATCGAAAGGCCGGCGCATGGATCAATTGCACTGTTCTATGCAAGCATTTTGCATGTTACATCTCTCCCCTGTGCAAAATTCGTAAATTTTGACCAAACGGTCATGGGGGTTTCTTGACATTTTGCAATCTATATTACATTATGCTAAGTACATTCATCCCTTCATAAGCCTTGTTTGTGCTAAAGGTGGCGTTTTTGGAACATTTTTATGTGGTAATCAAGAACTGGTAGTGTGTCTCCGAACATTGATACCCTTTTCGTCGGGGGAATGCACTTTTAAACCACTCACACTCATCCGATCTCACACTAGTGTTCATGAAAATTCATTTCAATCAGCTTACCAATTTGAATGACACCCGTTTGCACAAAGCCTAGTGCCTCGACACACAATACCTTATACGCTGCACGAAGCAGTGAAGAGAACAAGGGAGCAGTTTCGCAGCTTTAGGTAATTTCAGAATCTCTTTTGTAAAGCAACTGTTCTACGACATCGCTGGACACGGTGCTAACGAGTTGGCGGAGGGAGGGAGGGAGGTATCGGCACGTTGATGCTCCCATCTCCACACGCGCTCAGATGAGAAAGCCATTCACACGTGAAACATAGTTATATCCTACACAGCCTGCCTGACAAACGAAATCAGTGAGCTAAGTGGCATATCTGTCCTGTAGGAAGACAGCTGGCAGATATAGGTGCTGTAGGGGGAAAGCTGGTAGATATAGGTGCTTTAGAAGAGAGCTGGCAGATATAGGTGCTGTAGGAAGAGAGCTGGCAGGTATAGGTGCTGTAGGAGTAGAGCTGGCAGATATAGGTGCTGTAGGAGGAAAGCTGGCAGATATAGGTGCTGTAGGGGGGGGGGCTAGCAGATATAGGTGCTGTAGGGGGAAAGCTGGCAGATATAGGTGCTGTAGGGGAGAGCTGGCAGATATAGGTGCTGTAGGAGGAAAGCTGGAAGATGTAGGTGCTGTAGGGGAAGAACTGGCAGATATATAGGTGCTGTAGGAAGAGAGCTGGCAGATATAGGTGCTGTAGAGGAGAGCTGGCAGATATAGGTGCTGTAGGAAGAGAGCTGGCAGATATAGTGAGAGCTGGCAGATATAGGTGCTGTAGGAAGAGAGCTGGCAGATATAGGTGCTGTAGGGGTAGAGCTGGCAGATATAGGTGCTGTAGGAGGAAAGCTGGCAGATATAGGTGCTGTAGGGGGGGGGGAGCTAGCAGATATAGGTGCTGTAGGGGGAAAGCTGGCAGATATAGGTGCTGTAGGAAGAGAGCTGGCAGGTATCGGTTCTGTAGGGGGAAAGCTGGCAGATATAGGTGCTGTAGAGGGAAAGCTGGCAGATATAGGTGCTGTAGGGGAGAGAGCTGGTAGATATAGGTGCTGTAGGGGGAAAGCTGGCATAGAATTAGGAATTGTATGGTAATTGGTATGACTCGAGCACCTATGCATTTAAGCAAGAGCTTATTATTAGGTATTATTAGCTCTTGATTTAAGTTGAATACAGTACTGTAGAAATCTGAAAATCCAGACTGCTCGGGGATTGGGTCGGTCCGGATCTTCGGATTTTTCCGGATTCTCGGGCAATACTTTTAAAATTCAAATTTACGGAGGAATAAAGAAGAGATGAAGAGGTAATTTTGATATTTTATTCTTTAGCAAATACAGCATGCTTCGTTTATCAAAACGAGCAGTTTTAACAAAAAATAAAGTCAACACTTGGTAAAATAAAAACAAAAAAATTTCACTAGAAAAAAAGAGCATGTAAGTTGCTTGAAATCATGTTTAAAAATAACCATTGTTGTAGAAAAAATTACAATACTTAAAGGCATAATAGGTCCATTGATTATGCAATGTTGACGAATGCTAGAGTAACTGGCACCTTGTGTAGTTAAAGGAATAATATGGCCATTGATTATGCAATGTTGACGAATGCTAGAGTAACTGGCACCTTGTGTAGTTAATAAGTACATTACCTTATAGCCAAACACGTATTAGTTTGTCCAATATCACTGCTGGTTATTAAGAAATGTCTAATTGAAATCCGCAGTCCAAGAAATGTTTACAGTTTACGGTTTCATTTTCAAACCGCTGCTGGCGAAGCGGGTGTGATACAGATTTATAGTGCACCGGACAATTTCGCACGCATGCTCGGCCGTACCTAATGCTAGCGATAGTACAGTACCGTAACTGTACAGTATACGTAACAGTAGCTCTGATTGTAATGAATGTGGAATCCACGTACGAACCATGGACGCTTGTGATAATGAAGTAGGCTGTGTTGGAGGCCAACACTATAGGGGATCCCCACTAACCACAGCCACAGACTAAACATGGAAAGCAGACGGCACTACATGTATTTACATATATATTGGTCAAACGAATACACCTGTGTCCGAAATTGAAGACATGTGGGTACCAGTTCATTAGCACCCACTGTTATTTACTTGTGCCTCCATACCAAGAATACACCCAGAGATACATTCTACGAGCTAATTAGTTGTTATAAGCATCCCCGGACAACTCTGCTCAGCACCCGTAGCAACATGTGACATCACCTAACCGTTTCGAGGCTATTTGGCTTGGCAAACAATTTAGCTTGGCGCCAGATTACCAGATTTACGGATTTCAATTAGACATTTCTTAGTAATTAGCAGTGATATTGGACAAACTAATACGCGTTTGGCTATAAGGTAATGTACTTATTAACTACACAAGGTGCCAGTTACTCTAGCATTCATTAACATTGCATAATCAATGCACCTATTATGCCTTTAAACAAATGAAAGCAGAAGTTATTTTATAGAAGTTAATTCTTTATTTTTAGTTCATTAAATCAGAGAGTTAAATGCGAGTTTTCGAAAAGTCCGGGTTCTCAGGTGGCCCGGATTTCTGGCATCCGGATTTTTGGACTTCTACTGTAGTAACTTACATTACTGGGCTGTTGGGCTGGGCTGTACGTTACTGGGCTGTTAATTAGTCTTAACATTAGTCTTAACATTAACTTCGACTCAGAGACTGTTGACAGAAACGTCAGACAATCAGAACGTCAGAAATGTCAGAAATCTATATCAACACGTGATTTGAGACAAGGTCAAAGTGACATACCCAACAGTAAGAGCTTGACCTCACGAGCTTGTCTCTCTGCTTCTGCTCTCAGGTCTTTGTCTATCTGCCTGGACCGTTCTGCTGCTGTCCTTGCCTCCACGCTGTTTACACAGCCCATGTTCCTGTAAGGTCAGGCCATAATAAAAATATTGTTTATTTGCCCTCACCCAACCGACCCGAAAAAAAAGGGCCGACTCAAACAATTTTATTGATCTTTGAATCTTTCCCTTTTTTTTTTACAAATTGTATCACTGTACATTATATAAATCTGTAGGCAATACATTATATGTACCAAGCAAAACAAATATTCAACATAAAAGGTATCTCCACACAAGCACACCCGAGCATGTAGACACCATGCTGAATTTGTAAATAAACCCCCCTCAAAAAAAGAAGCCAACCTACCTACCCAAACTTTTCAGCCTGGGTCGGGTGAGGGCAAACAAAGATTTTTATAATCGTGGCCTCAGGGCAGCGTTCATAAATCTTATACATGTAGCCCAATTCATACAGATATTACAGCACACTGGGATTAAAACTATTTGACTTCTAAAAAACGAGTGTTGTAGCTTGCTGTGCTTATGGTTTCGTATATTTCTTCAAAAATCATAGCTCGGTTCCTAAAATAAGAACCGAAACAGGAGAGCTCTCAGTTTGACTATAGTAGCGGTGACTATATATTATAAAAGTTGGTTTATTCACTGACTGAACGGAACTGCTCATGCTTGCTATAAAAAAAGACTGCTTCAGTAAATGTCTCAATCCTACTCTAGCTGAGAGGGTCCATGTCCCCCAGGGTACTGCCGGAACAGACCCTGGTACTATCTAATATGCCGGACCGTACCTCGCCTACTCCACTAACGAGTCTAGGGAGTCGCCTACGCCTATTCCCTAACCCTAACCATATCAGATAGTTACCAGGGTTCGTTCCGGGATACCGTACCGTACCCAGGGTACGTTCCGGCAGTACCCTGGGGGACATAGCCCCTATGAGCCCTACTCTACAACTTTTGAATATATACATCATCGTCATCGTCGTCGTCACGATCATCACGCTTCCATTTTCGATTTCAAATTTGTAAAATGTTGATAAGTTATGGTGTGATATCCTTCAGGTAAAACAGTAAATGTAGGTTATTTGCTATAGATAAGGTAGGCTATAAATAAACATGTAGGTACTCGCTACCACAGCTGAAACCACTGGCTCGGAGGGCAGGTGTTTTGCCAATGTTACCGCCCTCCAAATAATTTGCCGGCATATATATGCTGGTGGGCCGGTGCTAATTTCGCGCCGTGTATATACCCAGGGTTCTCCCTACGTTGCGCAAACGGGGTGCGCGCGCCCCGTTTGAGAAAACTCCCCCCTGTTTGAATCGTTGCGCCCCGTTTGGGAAAACTCCCCCCTGTTTGAATTGTTGCGCCCCGTTTGGGAAAACTCCCCCCTGTTTGAATCGTTGCGCCCCGTTTAAATTCCACCACAATAAAAGTTTGCCAGCGCGGGAATTGCCGTTCGACCAGGACATTCGACGCGTGTTATTTTTACCGTACCACGCATGTACTGAAGACAGTACACAAGTTAACCTGTCACTAACTGTACACCGACTCGGCTATCTTATATATACAAGAACCACAAATACCGTCTATGGTGTGGTGGCGATTTTACGCATTTATTAGTCGTACGGTAAAAATACACGCCCCCGGACCCCCTAGTT